AATTGTTGATTTAAAAAATCCATAACAATTCTGACGTTGTGAGGATCAGCGCCGCCTTGTTCAAATTTTATTTTATTTTGATCCAAGAGTGGCATGTCTTTCAGAAAATTTGGTAGATTTTCTGTCAGAAATTGCACGCCATTTAGCCTTTCTGGGAGGATTACTGGTCCCAATATTATTGTTCCCATAATCCCAGTCCAGACATTCAATTTCCAACGAATTTGGAAATTTCTGAGCCGCGTCACTCGCGGATTCATCCTATACGTGCATATTATGCTGTTTCAGAACTCCTTTTCGTGTAAACATCGCTAAATATTATATAAAAAAGAAATTCTGCTCTTCTAAGAAAATCCTCGCAAAACATTTTCCTCCGAGGATAGTCTTCTTCTCATAGATGTTGCACGCTACTGTAATGGTAGGCGTGTAATTTTTCTTTCAAAATTTGTTGTACAGTCGAATACGATAATCCGTAGTGTCGAGTAATATTTCGAATGGTTTTCGGTTCTTGCTCAACGACACGAAAAACTGTTTCCGTATTTCGAATGTTTCTTGCGTAACGCTGCCTACCAATGTCTTTTTTCTTTAGCAGGACGCTTCCGGTTTCGTACAACCTTTTCGCTTCGAGCTGGCATGTGGATATCTTGCTCTGTTCGGATATAGCTCGACGTATCTCCTTGTAGAAACGTAATGTTGTCCATAACACTCACCGAGTACCATGAGCATATCATAATATTCTTCGTTTCTATACGCTGCCATTTCTTGATCCTTCGCTTTTACGATACTCAAGAGATTGATTGATGATCCGGATCGATCGGTCCCCCGTATTTATCCGATCTTCGCGGATGTAGCGCCATGCACCGCGACGCGAATTGATCGCGGGGAACGGGATGGGAAGGCGTGACTCCCCGTAAAGATCGGATAAATACGGGGGACCGATGTGAGCGTTTATTATTTGAGACAGAATAACTCTTTGTCCTTAGACAGCTGGTTGCAACGAGTGCCCTTTGTGGTCGCTCGTCAGACGATAAATGCGCCTGGCGCCGCCCTTGCTTACCTTCTGCGACCTGTGATTTGACAACTTTATCTTTTAATGATTCAAAAAGTAAGCGTCGGATAAAATTTCCGTAACGGAAAAGTCATCTTAGAATTTAGTCAGGAACATGTCTGTGCTAGGACACGAGGTTTTTTTGAATCACCCTGTATATAGCGATTATTAATATAAGAGAAATATATTAGAGTTATCACAAACACCTATACACGTATATATTGGGTCATGGAATTAATTCGTAGCGTTTTACAAGTGATGGGAAGTACTTTCATTAATGTATTTTTTAATGCTCATGTGAAATAAATAACATTCTTTCATTAAAAAACGCTACGAATTAATTCCAACACCTAATATATGCAGAATGTAGAAAAAGTCCAGGACCCATTAAATAACTTGAAAAGCAATCATTTTTGAGAAAAATGTTTTATAAGTTGTAAAGTTGAAAATGATTTATTGACTGACCTTATCAATTTGATCATGGATGACGCCACCAAGGTCAAATTGATTTTTTTAAACAAAACATCCTATTTTTGATTTTAGAATCTAATAGCTGAGGTCGGAAGCTTTCCAAACTATAATAAAACCTCTTTTTAATCAATATTTTTCAAGTTATGAGAGTTGAAGTTATGGAATCGTGACATTAGCATTACCTTTTTTTTTCTTTGCGTAGGAGAAGAAAAATCTTCGCAACGTCTTCTCCCGAGGGGGACCGGAAGGGACACCCATCAGGAGGGGAAGACGCCCAGCGGCTCGCATTGGGTGTGCCGGATTCGACCGCCCCGTGATCTCGAGGATACACCGGAACGGTTGCTTACCGACTAAAAAACTCCCCCTTGTTATAGCACTACCTTCAAGCATATATGTGAGTACCCCGGACCAACAGGTATTACTTCAGAGCACCCACGATGCCAACGGGATGACTCCTATCGCTCGCACGGGAACATCCATTAATATAAACTAAACTATATATATATTATTTACATAAATATATTTCCGCTATGAAGAGGTGGAATCCCGGGAAGGAATAGACGGTACAAGAGGACGTATCGACTCCTTCCAATTCTTCTCTTGATTCCTCTCCGTCTCTTCCTTTCTTCTCATTACTGTCTCGCAGAAATTTGTGAATGCAGTCCAGGCTTCAGAGGAGCACATGATAGCCCCAATCACCAAGTTATACTTTCGGTCTAGATCTAAATCCAGATCGAGAGCCGCAAACAAATTTCCTCTCTCCATCGCCCACGAAGGGCAGTGAAGGACAGTATGCACAGCATTATCAACAGCAGTACCACAGTGCTGATAAATTGGAGACTTCGCCTTTCTGATCTCGTAGAGATAAGCCTCAAAACATCCGTGACTGATAATGATCTGGGTCATCCTAAAAGTAAGACCATCATGAGTCCTCCTCATCCACCTCATCAATCTGCCTACAAGAGCCCTCCGAACAGCAGCTCCAGATGCGTCTCAGGGAAGCTCTTCAAGCCGCCTATTCCACCTAGCCATCGACCTCTCCGTTTCCTCATCGCGAATATGACTCATCACCCTGGGAGCGATAAAACCATTTCGCTCTATGCAAGCTCGCCGCCTCAAGTAAGATCGCCTTAGACGATCAGCAAGTAAATTGAACGGGACCAGTCTCGCGAGTATTAGTGACGCTTCATAGGAGACAGTCCTATAACCCCTTATAATCCTAAGCGTCAGCTATCTTTGCGATCTAGCCACGTCGCTTCGAATGGTGCGATCCTTCGCAATCGCCTGCACCCACACAGGAGACCCACATAAAACGACAGACATAACAACGTTGCATATACCCGATGCCTGCACTCCCCAGAGCCATCAATATTGGCCATTAATTTACCAAGGGCTGTTATTATCCTCGACGAAAGTGTTCTCTAAAAGATTACTTAGAGTCTAACACCAATCCTAGATATTTCATCGAAGACCGCACTTCGATTTCTGCATCCCCTATTCTAATACTCACATTCGGTACCTCCCACATGAATGCTATAGCTTCCGTTTTGCTCGATACCTCGAGACCTAGCTGTTTAATCACCCCAACTATAACAGCCGCCCCCAGCTCTGCCCTCGCATAAGGGCGGCCCTCTCACTACCAGAAGAGTATCCACGTAACACAAGACGGAACAATCCAATGGCAAGCCGACACTCAATACGGAGTCATATCCGACATTCCAAACTGTCGGTCCCAGGACCGAACCCTGAGGAACTCCGCGCATCATAGGGGATCTTGCGTACCTATCGTCCCTGTCTATGTAGAACAGCCATCTGTCCGACAGATAGCTATCCAGAATACACCGGAGATATCCCGGAACCTCCTTTTCCACTAACGCGTCTCTGATGACAGGCCACGAGAGAGAGTTGAAAGCATTGGCTATGTCAAAAGACACAGCCAACACCACCCCCCCATCTCGCACCCCATCATCCACCATCGCACAAAGTCTCCATATGGCATCTACCGTCGATCTTTGCGATCTGAATTCGAATTGAGATTCCGAGATACCCCCAGACTCATCCAGACACTGCGTCAATCGGTTGCAGATAACCCTCTCTAGGAGCTTTCCTGCTTTGCTCAGAAGACAGATTGGCCTGCAAGACGACGGCGCCCGATCAGGTTTCTTGAGCAGCACCAACCGCGCCATTTTCCAACTGGATGGAAACACCCCCTTCCTGAGACACGCCGTAAAGCAGCTCATCCAACGTTTGTCCAAGATGTCACATGTATTCCTGACGATCGATGATCCCATTAGGACCAGGAGCACTATCAATGTTCATTTTGGTAAACACAGTCTTGATCTCCTCGCCGGTTATAGCTAAGGCGTCATCCCACTGGACGGGGGAGGCGGCAACACCCGTCCCCCCCGCACCAGGAGGGAATAATACCCCGACCACTTCCCGCACGACTCCTGGAGGGAGAGCCTCAATAAGTCGAGACGCGCCCATCCGCAATTTATCGATCACTATACGATATGGCATGCCCCAGGGATACCTATCGAGAGTATCGAGAAAATCCCGCCATAGGTTCATCTTCGACCTACTAACAGCCCCCCTGAGTGCCTTTCTCACTTCCTTCAGTTCAGACCAGAGACCTCGCATCATTTCGGAGTCACGATATCTCCTACGCTCTTAGTAATTTTCTTCGAATCCGTACACAACGAACTCGGAGTTCTGCAATCTCCTCATTCCACCAATAAACCGACGGTCTACCGGTGGCCCTCAAAGCGGCATCGAGACGTCCGAGATCTCTGTCAATGCCGCATTCAGTCCATCAGCCAGGGATTCCGCCACATTCCCATGAGGAGAAAAGGACCAGGTCTTTATGTTGGCTGCCGCGCTTAATAGGTCCATATTGACCCTGCCAATACTCCACCGTGGGAAGTATTTGTTCCCAGCAGTTCTCCTTAGAGGACCCACTATTTTTTTTGCACCCTCATAAGAACGTAACGGTGATCCGAAAGAGACTCGATATCTACCGCCACGCGCCAATCGCTAACTCTACGAGCCGTCAGCTCATGATAGGTCCACGCATGACGCATGAACCGCCTCAAGCGGGTGCACGCAAGTGGGCACAAAACCATTGTTTAATAGCACAAGATCCAAGTCCCTCGCCCAGCCTGATAAAATTCTATCTCTACGGTTCGCATCGCTCAAGTCCCATGCAGAGTACCTAGTTGAAATCATCCAAAATCAACAACGGTCTTTGATTGCACGATAGGATTCGAATGCTCAAATGTCAATCATGCAGTTCCCTTTCAAAATCTACGACCGGCAGATTGGGGGAGAAGTAGCAGCTAAACACCACTACTCCTCCCCACTCCACCGCAACGTATCCCTTCCCCCTATAAAGAGGCGAATATGGAACGTCTATTTGGGAGTGCTGCCATGTAATGGCAGCCGTCGCCGGATCGTCTACCGAAAAAAGTCAGCGTCCATTGTTTACCACTGAATGAGGTTCCGATACGGCAACAAGTCCCAATCGTTTCTCCTCGCACACCCGCGCGATAAAATCCTGCACAGATCTCGATCGATTGACGTTTATTTGTCCAATATACATTTGTCCATATTAGCCATTGGGAACGTCAACCGACATCCTCTCCTGGGGGAAACAGCCTCAGACGTTCGAATAGCAAGACTCTTCTCTTCTGTCGCTATTATCAGCCCTCTCACTTGTCGCTGTTCTTATCGGGCTATTATAAGGAACGCAACCATCTCTTCCTGCTCTATGCCCAGCAGGTAGATTTCTCTCTGCACAAACCGGGCAATGAGGTGAAGTCTTGCAGTCAATAGCCGTATGTTCCTGCCACAATTAAAGAAAACATTACTCCTATCCACAGCATTCCTACGATTGGCCCTTATATGCCCTACAGCGAAGTACCTGTAGCAGTGGAGTCTCCTCTTGGCCAAAGGCACCAAACGTACTTTGGACCAGCTTCGCTAATGCGAAGTCCATCTTTCTGTATCTGATTCGCACATGTGACCGGACACTGTCCGGTGCGGTGTTAAGGCCACCTCTATCTGGTCTCAGAGGACCCACGTCACTCGACTGTACATTCCCATGCGTTGCTACAGCTTCCGCAATCTCACAAACCATAACGGATTCGTTCAAGTTTAGAAGACGGAATTCCACTCTTCTAATCGGCCATACCACCTTGATTCCAGTCTGGTCTTTGAAGAGGGAATTTAATCGGCTCACAAGAGAGTCAGCTTTTGACTCAGCATCCTCCCCCGGAATCTCCACCAGAAAATCACCAGTCTGAGCACGTCTGACTCTCATGTCAGTGATGCCCAATTCCTCGAGTGAAACATTGGATCTCGCCTCACCCATCACCTCCACATATGAGGGGCCTCCCTCGTCACAACTAATCAAAACCGCAGCGGAATTCATTTTACGTATTCCTCTATGAACAGTTCGACCAGGAGGGATCGCAGATCCGGGTTTCGAACGGACCCGAGATTTGCTCCCAGGAGCTGTCGCCACGTCACAAACCCCCCTCACAACCGCCGCAAAGGAAACATCCTTCCTCACCGTTTTCGCACCACTACCACTATCCGACGCAACTTCGAAAGCACTGGCACACTGTTACCATCACGATAAATATCTATTCTTGTTTTCCTTTTCTTCCTTTTTCTCTTCCCCGCAACAGTTTCCCAGGGCTCTCCTCTCTCGGGACCTGAAGAAGGAAGCCAACCAGTAAGGTCCTTTTCTCGTTGGTGGTTGTCCTCTTGCCCACTAACCGCAGCAGAGAGAACAATATGTTCTCTTTCATCGACCAGTTTCCTTCTCACAGAGGAATCCTCCGGTATTACTCTGGAGACTCCCCTCAGTGAAGGGCGGCATGTTGGAGATATATCCTCAGTCACACCAGCTACTCCCAGAGGGGAGGTGTGCGAAATTCCAGCCATTTGTCGATCTACTCTTCCGTAATCTAGTTTTCTGCGTCTTGACGCCTTACAGCTAACAAGCTCCCTCCTCAGTAGCCTGACTTCTTCTAGGAGACTATCTTTGTAGTTGAAGACACCTTCCGCTCATTACTTCAACCGGTTCTTGAACCCTAACTGAGTTCGCCGCCAGTTGTTAAACTGCCTGTCTGGCCACTTCCACTCCTATAATTATCTGGCGGCGCAGATTACCCTTCATCGTTGATGTCTTTTTTTGCGCGCTACTTGCTGCATTCAAGACTCTCAAGGTCTCTGTCATTATAGTGTCGGAGACATCTACGGGAATAGATAGGTAATTTCATCCACCGCAGTCTTTTGCTTATACGACAGAGAGTCGTCTAAGGGACATTCCTGTAATTTTCTCTTTTTACCCGCCCGCCAATCTTTCTTGGTGATTTACAGGAAATCGGGCCGATCCAAAATGTCATAGTCATAATCGTCCATTCTTGATGCGCTCATTTTAGAAAAGGATTTAGCTCCTGGGACATTACTGCCCTTTGGCTTACGTCTTCTCTTTTTACTTCGCACAGCATCAACCGATGTGATAGAATCCGTCGAAGTACTGGCTCTTCCTTTCGAACTGTCGATCACCACTGGAGCATCAGACATCTCGACCGCAGTGACAGGTGAATTCACAATATCCTCATCAACCACGCGTAATCCCTGGGGAGACGCACATCGGATACTATCCTGGGATCAGACCCCTTGACACTAACCATGTTCTCATCATCACTTATCATCAATACCGTGTCCTGACTGTCAGGAACAATGTCACCCTTACTTTTCATTTGTTCACCAACCCCAGTGATAGACAGCTTCTCCAACACTATCGCGGGTTTTCGCCGTTGCAACAAAGCATTCCCCTTCTTCGACTGCAAACCAGAATCGGGCATCGCACACACACCCTTGTCCACAGTCCCACCCTCAGCGGTAGCCATATCGGCCGCGGAACCCGCCGGCAATTTGCCTCTGGCCTGATTCTTCCGTAGGAGTCGATCGCACGGGAGCGGGGACACTACCCCCGGGAAACCGTGACGAGGATCCGAACTCTCGCCGTGTTATGTCCTTTTTAAAACTATCCATATTGTATATGTACCGGCGATGAGAAAGAAGCCGAGTGACTCAGCGGCCAATCACCCCGCTCGCCTCTAATTCCTTCTGCAACCCTACATAAGCGGATGACCGCCCGGCGGCAAGGACGACATCACCGAACGACCGCAAGACGGGAGTGTACCAAAGTCGGTTATAGGACTTACTCCCACCTTTAATTTCAATTAAAGCATCAATCAAACATACTTTCTAATATAATCAGAAAAACGCTACAGCGAAGAAAATGGGATGGTACTTACCACCTTTGTCGGGCAATCTCGAACACACCTCCAGGATAGGGAGCAAATAGCAAAACCCATAAAGGCTAACCAACATCCTGAAGTGCTTTCTCTGGAATTCACGCTACTACAGTCCTGGTCCATGTCAGGCCCACTAATGCCATCTATCTCGACGGTAAGTCAAGACAGTCCAGACCAGGATCAAGAGAATCACAACATGTCACAAAATTTGAAGAATCCATCGAGCAGGCATAAGTGGGAGCGTTGCCCCACAGTTAGCTCATCATAGATGATTGAGCCAATTTCGCGGGAGGATCATGCCGCACGTAGAGCTCCTCAGCAATGGCCCCCAGTCATAATCCACTAATGTCAAACATCTTCGTAGATCATCCGTAGTTTATACCATTCACTGTTTATTCACATATGTACACATTATCTATACTCAATTAACAATATTTAAGAGTCCGTATCATCATAGTCACTAGCGTCCTTGCGCTCCCCACTTGGCCGCTGTTGAGTGATTCACCCACCACCCATTCATTCCGTGGCCGCACACCACTACCACGGGACAGGAGGACCTTTTATAGAGAGCTCGTCCGAAAAGTCGGGTGCAATCTCGGACGCTCGGTCTCTTCCAGTGGTGCAAGGAAAGAGATTACGAGAGCTCAGACACCGCGGATTTGCTAAACCCGTAGTAGAATCATATCAAGATGCGTCCGGGAGTGCCGCAACTCGCATCCGAGATGATCCCATCCCTTGCGGGGACATTAGCATTACCTAAGCTAAGATGCTATCCCTTTTAATGTGAGGATGGGGTGGTCATAGGAAGTCTTACGCAAGCGACAAGACTTTTCAATTTTTTAGAAATAAAGACAATGATATATCTAAATCAACAGTCATTCGTTTGAACATTTGTCATTCCTTTAATCCAACTCGCCTTACCTACCAGTTTTTAATGATTTTCTCGGCTAGACCCCGCTAGGATCTGGAACTTCGTCAAGTTATACCTCTGAAATAGAAAACATATTTTTAACTTATCACATGCAAAATTGATATCTCTAGAGTAAGACAAGAACAAATAAACAAAGAATATGAAACAAAGAATATGAAACAAAAAATATTATATTTATTCTTCAATCACATCATAAAAAGTTAAAGTCTGAATTGCAATGTAAAAAATCGCAATAGATACGTCATATCCTAGTATGGCGAGCTAGGGTTAAAAGAATATTACATATTATAGCAAATACTCAAACTATACTGGCGTCCCTCCGTAGTCTGACAATATGCTAGACGATTATAAAAACTTAAGACTGCATTTCTACAGAATTCGCGAGGCATGATTCTAAATTCATTTATTATTCGTTGATGTAAATCATTAAGATTTCGAGATTTAGTATTATAAATTTTTTCCTTTAAATATCCCCACAAAAATAGTCGAGTGGATTTAGATTAGGTGATCGTGCTGGCCATTCAATGTAACCCCTTCTTCCTATCTACCTATTCGGAAAAACTTTATTCGGATATTGGCGTACTAAACCGTAGTGAGGTGGCGCCTCATCTTGCTGGAACCAAATGTCATTCAAGTTTTGACGAGCAATGTTTCGGATTGCCCAAACTATTTTATCTTGAAGCATGATTAAGAAATTGTCAGCATTTAAATTACCTTCAATAAAGAGAGGCGCAATAATAGCTTCATTTAAAATTCCAGCCCATACGTTGACTTTTTGCTGATTCTGAGTTTATTCTCGTACATCCAATGAGGATTTTCATCTAATATCTGCAATTATCGATTTATATTCCCGATTAGCTCAAAAGTAGCTTCATCTGAAAAAAATAATGTTGACTAATAAATAAAAGATTTCTATTGATATTTAATATCATACTTTCGCAAAATTAAATGCGACGATCACAATCATAGTTCCTGCGCCAGATAGATCTTATATGGATAAAATTTCTCCTTTTTCAGAATTTTATGAACTGACATAGGATCAATCATCGTGTTGTGCAACTGTGTTTGCGAATTGAATTACGCGGATCTTCGATAAAAGACTGTAGAACATTCAATCTTTTATCAGAATTTGTTGCTATTGTTGGTCTACTTTGACTATTATGGTCTTTTACAAAACCCAAAAAACTGTCTTCAAAACGTAGTACAGTACGAATAACAGTTGATTTAGATATATCATTGTCCTCATTCCTAAAAGTTAGATTGAAAAGTTCTATGTCACATGTGCGTAAGACTTTCTACGATCACCCCATCCTCGCATCATTAAAAGGGATATATGTTCCTGTTCAGTAAAATATTATAAAATATTTTAAATAAATACTTTATAAACAAAGATAACTATGTGGCGATAAGCAATCTCAAAACGGAGTATCACGACAAAATATACTTTTTCAATAGCAGGTCACAAAAAGAGTAAACGTGACAGGAGAGATCTCTAGCTTATGTAGTCTCCAGCTTTGTTGAAAGGGTGGGAAGGAGGGAGAGGGGATGCAAAGGAATAGGAAGGAAAGGGTAAGGAAAGAGTAGGAGGGAGGAGGAGATAGAGATATGAAAGGTCTTGTCGCTTGCGTAAAACCTATGACCACCTCATCCTCGCATCATTAAAAGGGATACGAGAATCTTAGCTTAGGTGGTTTAATGCCGCGGTGGTTCCTTTCAAGTCTCATAACTTGAAAAGTACTGATTAAAAAGATACTTTATTATAGTGTTTTGGAAAGCTCCCGACCTCAGCTATTAGATTCTGAAATCAAAAATAGGGTGTTTCGTTTAAAAAAATCGTTAAAAATCGATTTGACCTTCACTTGACCTTGATGGCGCCATCCAAGGTCAAATTGATAAGGTCAGTCAATAGATCATTTTTAATTCTATAACTTTTGTATAAAACATTTTTCTCAAAAATGATTACTTTTCAAGATATTTAAGAGGTCCGGGACTTTTTCTACACTCTGTATATATATATATATATAATATATAGATAAAAATATATTATAAATATATATATATATATATATATAATATATAGATAAAAATGGAAATGAACATACAGGTACATATATAAATATCCCTAAAAATTCATTAAAACGAAAAGGTCAGGCCATATTCAAAAACAGATCTTCAAAAATGTAAACTTTTCAAAATGATTATCTAACAATATATATTACCATGAACAATATATATATTACAATGAAAAGAAACTGATATATTATTCAAAGTCCCAGTTCAAAATAAATATATATAAACCATATTCTCAAAAATGTAAACCTTTAAAAATTTTAATCATTATCTGATGATATATTACCTTGACAAGTAACTGATATATTATTAAAGGTGCCAGATCAAAGTGCACATACATCAAATGCATCCTCAAAAATTTCTACTTTTAAAAATTTAAATGATTATTTAACAATATATATTATTATTATAAGTAACTGATATATTATTGAAGGTGCCAATTCAAAGTGAACATACATAAAGTGTATATATTATCTAAATTTAATATAATGTATTATCATGAAAAGTAATTCATATATTGAAGATGCGAATTCAAAACGAACATGCATACATACAAGTAAAACAGGTTATAATTTCATTTCAGAAAATAATGCGTTATTTTAAGGATAAAATCACACGGTCCGGAATAGAACTGCGGAATACAGAATGCGTCATTGAAGCAACCAATCAGCGTTATTCCATTTAATGTTGCGGAATAGCTAGTGCGTCATTCTTGTGCATTATTCTTGTAATAAATTATCATATTTTGAGAGATTAAAATAATTTGATGCTGAATGATATGATGGATTTGCACAATATCGAGACGAATGAAGCAAAATGACAAAATCTGAGCATAAATATAGATACCAAAAAAACAATGATGCATTACATGTGATTTCAGTATGCTCTTTTCCGCACTTTTCCACCAGTTTTATGTGTTATGTTTACACGATGCGGAAAAATGGTAGTAAATGCGTTAAAGCAGTTCAAAAAATTGTTATGAGATTGAAATATTAATTGTAAAACATTAAATACTATCAGTGATAATTGTTTTTACAATTTGAAAAATTATATTAGGTGTTGGAATTAATTCGTAGCGTTTTACAAGTGATGGGAAGTACTTTCATTAATGTATTTTTTAATGCTCATGTGAAATAAATAACATTCTTTCATTAAAAACGCTACGAATTAATTCCAACACCTAATATTTTTTAATAAGCAAATTATTAACATGAAGTTAGTAGTTTTTAAATTATATTCATGCTGGATACATCTTTGACATCATGTGAACATAGTACACAAAATTTGCGTGATGGGAAAGTGCGGAATAGCGCTGATTGGTTGCTTCAATGACGCAGTCCTATTCTGGACCGTGTGATTTCACTCTTAGTGCACAAAACATAAAAGTCGTTTAATGAGATTTGATTTGAAATTTATACTAGCCCGTACAATGAGAATATAATTGCTCGTAATTCCAGAATACCAATTTGTTAATGACTCGGAAAAAGAACATGGCGGCCTGCTTTCAAAACTTTGATAAGTTTCGCGGTATCCACTTAGAAATAATCGAAGCTCTTACAAAGTAATCGAGTGGATGGGTGGAAGAAAGGTACAACTCTACTTAAGCCCTTTTTCAAGAAATTAGCTTTTTTATATATTGAGAGTATAAATTAGTTCGGTCTGTTTTCCAAAAGATGGCTCCGGCTGTTGTGAATGGTTCATAGTGACAGCTGATTTTGGCATTTTCAGAGAAGTTAGACATCTGCTAATAATATTCAGTTTATATCGCTTTGAGTTTCATACAAAAACCTTCATTTTTACTGTGTTTGAAATGTCGAATTTTGTGTTAAACCAAGCAGCATTTGCGGGAGGTTCTAATTTTCTGCTTTAATTGGAAGAAAAGTGCAGCTGAAACCCATCGAATGCTTGTCGAAGTTTATGATGACACTGCTCCAAATCACTGCTAATAAATCGTGTAAGGAATGGTTTCGACATTTCAAGGATGGAGATTTCAGCGTTGAAGACAAGCCTCGCTCTGGACAGCCAAAAAAATTCGAAGACAAAGAATTAGAGGCATTAGTCGAAGAAGATCAGAGTCAAATGCAAAAAGAGATTGCAGAATCATTGGGAGTAACTCAACAAGCCGTTTCTGCACGATTGAGAGCCATGGGAATAATTCAAAAACAAGGAAATTGGGTGAACTGAAACCTAGAGACGTTGAAAGGCGATTTTTCACTTGCGAATAGACTTGATTCAAAGACAACAAAGAAAAGGTTTTTTGCATCGAATTGTGACTGGAGATGAGAAGTGGATATTCTACGACAACCCCAAGAAGAGAAAATACTACGCTAAGCCCGATCAATCGTTACTATCGACATCAAAGCCGAACATTCATGGTTCGAAGATCATGCTCTGTATCTGGTGGGACCAATAGAATGTTGTTTACTATGAGCTACTGAAACCTGGCGATTCCATTACGGTATCGACTACAATTGATTCGTTTCAGTCGTGCATTGCGAGAAAAACGGCCGGAATACGAGCAAAGACATGATAAAGTTATTTTTCTTCATGACAACGCTCGGCCTCATGTCGCAAAAGTCGTAAAAAAATATTTGGAAACGCTCAAATGAAATGTTTTACCGTACCCGCCGTATTCTCCGGACATTGCTCCTTCTGAT